TTTTTTTTTTTTTTTTTTCTTTTGACACCTTTCATAAAATATAACACATTGTTGGTAGGTTTTTATTTTTTTCAGACTTTTTTGGCCTCGTAAAGTATTGAAAAACTTGTAAGAAGATCTATACCACAATAACTAAATAGCGCCTACTTCTGGTAACTTGAATTACCTTTCTGCCTAATTGGGTAATTAATTACCACTTTCCTGTCTGATTCTCGTTTATCAGCTGGAAAGGCATGTAATGCATGATGAATGATGACGCTATAATCATATACTTTTGGTATTATAAGGTATAGATATTAGATTAGATGCAACATATTTTGAAAACGAAACCCTTCTACATCAACCAAGATGTTTGAAAACATCTAACATCACTTGCAAAGAAATTTATTCAGCTACTTTTATTTATCTTGACTGTGTTAATTAATGCCTTAAAGACACTGCTTAAAGAAATAATTACAAATAAAGAATCACGTTAAAGATATATAGAAATTTTATTATTTTTTTTTCTACTCTTCATTTCTCAAGTAATATCATATAAATATTTACTATCATTTGCTTTTTTCTTTTTTGATACGTATTATTTGCCTATTTTACTATATTGTCTCACTCTCACGATAAGGGGGGAAAATATATGCATTTATCCGTTGGTTGTAGTGGTAGGGGTTGCTCTTGATATTCAAGGTTAGGCAACTCCTTGATTTTTCTTTCAAACGTCGGCTTCTGTGTCACTTTCAAACATGCAAAATGCGATAATTCAAAGTCCAAAATGTTGGTGGAAAACATTAGACATTTTTTTTTTCCACTGCAACCTTAGACATTTAAATACATCTCAAATCTTCCATTTTAAATCAAATTACTACACTGTTCATACCCGGTAAAATTAAATTTAAAAACAACTTAAACTTTAAGTGTTGAACTATATATATATATATATACACCGATAATAGTGACTAATCTCCTCACTACGTTGGAGGCTCAAAGGGTGGGATAGCTGTGAACTATATGCATATATGTGTATAACAAAATAAATTATTAAAAAAAATAATAATTAAAACTATAAATTTAGTATTATATATTATTGTTAATTCAAGAGTATGAGCTAATTTTGATGAGACTTATATATTAAGTTACAATTTATTTAATAAAAATTAGTAAATAATCATGTATAAAAATTTAATGAATAATTGATTTTAAATATAGTAAAATTGATATATTAAGAGACAATCTATTCAAATAATTTTAAACTTTTAGTAAGAATTAATATATTACCAGACAATCTGTTCAATTAAAGCCAATGATTATTTGGTTTTAAGTTTGGTGAGAATTAATATATTAGGCAACAACTGATCTGATTAAAATTAATGGCTAGTTATTTTCAAGTGATAAAGTGCAATAAAAAGTAATTTTAATGACCTAAAGTAAGGACTTATGTATCCAACCTTATGTTCGTAACTATAACATGGTAAAAAAAAAAAATCATTTGTTTAAAGATTTTTATGCTATATTTTCAAAATATTTATCATGCATATTTTTTCTATTTATTTCTGATAAATAATTATAAAAAATGAAAATTAACTAATTTATCCAATTTTTATATATATGGACATATTTTTCATGTAACCGATATTTATTTTTATTGTAAATTAATGTTTATTAAATTATATTTTTATTATTTAAATATGAATTTATTATTATACTTGAGAAATAAATAAGTTCTTCGAAAAAAGAAAATATAATTATCAGCGGATGACTATCAGATAAAATGTAATTTAAATAAATTAAATAATATTTTTAACATTTTTTTAAAGTGTATATATTATGAGAGAAGAAAAAATAATAAGATAAAAATACAATAAAGTGTTATGAAAAGAAAGAAAGAAAGATATAAACTTTAAAAAGTATTTTTTTTTAAAAAAGGAGATAAAATAATTATATAATATTCCATTATGTTAACCCCCTTCAATATATGCATCGGGCATCTTAATCATGCTACCATATATATATTTTTTTAGTGAAACGTCACGCATTTTAAGTTGCAGATCAGCATTTCTGTTGTAGCTATTTCACTCATTTTATTTATTCATTTCTCTTTCTCCACTTAGCATCTGATTTTCTTTTAATGCTGCAAGTAAGCCAGCCTGCAGAAACGGGAAACAAAAAAATTAATAAAAAGAGAATCATTTCAATTTAATAATTAATGTTGAGTTTGGATATGTAATTAAGAAGTTTGATTATTAATAAATATAGAAAGCGTTATTAAAAGTAATTAATTAAATTTGATGAGATAAAAAAGAAGAAGAAAAGAATGCATGTGTTGAGTGAAGAAAACATTATAAAAAAGGTTATTTTAAAAAATAGTAAAATTTCTTATTAATAAAGTAAAGTATCCTTTCCTTAGAATGAAAAGTCATGTCCCCACACCTAAGCAGATAGTAATTACTTGCAAAATGGTTAATTCCATTTCGACGGAATCTCTTACAGCAAAAGGAAGAAATAGAATGAAGCCAATTGTAGGAGCATCATCCTGGGCCCACCTCCACCGTCTGATCCCCGAATCCGAAACCGCAAGAATCAATCCGTATGTGGGACGCCCCAACCGAGGCCCCACTTTCACGTGCGTCGCTCAGCCTTTTCCAACCCAAACCCAAAGCCCAAGCCCAAACCCAAACCCAACCGCTTCCCGATTCGGATCCGAATATTTATTTCCAGAATTCACGCTTTCCAACAACCAAATTCCTTTCCCTCACTCACTCCTTCTTCCTTCCGTAACCATCAATATTTATTATTTATTATTTATTATTTTATTTTATTTAATTAAATGCCAACCTTTATTTACATTTACCGCGTTTTCTTTTCTCTCTCTCTCTCTCTCTCTCTCCCAACCCAACCCAACGAAACAACAAAACCACCACCAGAGTTTGGGTTCCGCTCCGTCCTTTTCACTTTCCATTTCCCAGTGGCATCCTCACTTTGTTTTCCACCGCGCCAATCATACATTTCCAGCTCACGGATTCGACTGCCCTCGATAATCTCACCGTCACGGGTTGCCGCATCTTCCTCACCGTCCAATCGCTCTGCTCGGTAGAGGGTTTTTCTCGGCTTCTTCCTCCGCTGTCGAAGCAATCTATGCGTGGCGGTGATAGTACCGGCTTAGGGTGTGTTCCTCGCGCTGGATGTGTGTCGGGTGCAGGATAAATGCGTGTTACCGGGGATCTAGGGTTTTCGAGCCTGGTCCTTGTGTTGCTGCTCCTCATCGGCTTCGTAATTCGCCGTAAATGGCAGGTTTCGGAGGCTAGGAAGGACGAGATTAAGAGGCTTTTGATTTTGGCGGCGGAGGAAACTGCCAGGGCCGAGAAAGAAGCGTTCTATGAGTACGACACGGCGCTTTCTGCCGCTCGGACCAATCAATGCGCTGTCTGTTATTTTCCCGCCACCGCGCGCTGCTCTCAGTGCAAATCGGTTCGCTACTGGTGCGTCCACCGTCGTTTTTTAAATTGTGCTGAACAATTCAGCGCTATTGTTGTTTCTTTTTATGTGGCTTGGATTGTGGTTGTTTATGTTGTTTCCCTTTTCAGTCTCTCACGATTACTACTTTCTGTGCTGTACGTTTATTGATTATTGTTGGAAAATGGGAATATTAATTTTGATCTCCTTTTCGGGAGTGCATCTCTTGTGCTTTGTTAAATTTGTATTTACCTGTTATATGCCCCAAAGATAAACGTACGAAATCTTTGCTTCGTTTTACTTTGCATCTAGTAGAGGAGCTTTTTGACAAGTTTTGCTCATTCCCGGACATAATTAACGTACACGAGATCAGTTGGCTGTTCCTTTCTACTAATTCGTAGCTGTTGCTAGTGGAAATAACAATCATGCTGCAACTTTTTGTAGGTGGTTTAGGTTGTGGTTTAACATTTTTGTGTAGAACTGTTTTGGAAAGAAAATGGTTATTTATTTGTTCTTCTCTAGTTTAGAAAATACAATGACTCCATTTAAAGTTTTAAACATTGTTGAATGATTTAGGGTCTGTTTGGGTAAACTTCTTCAGAAGTATTTATAGGATTGAAAAATAGAAAGAAAAAATGAAATAAGTTTCTTTATAAATTACATAAGCTAATTTGAAGAAGCTCCCTCTTATTAGTCTCTCCAAAATTTTATTTATAACTTATGCACAAATTTGTTTTAGCTCTTAGCTCTTGGAGAAGTTTATTTTGATTTTTTTTCTCCTAAAATTGCTTATGGTGAAGTTCATCTAAACAGACACTAATATTCTGTATTACTGTGGTTCCAATTCATTGCTTTTGTCTGCATGTTTCTCTGGGTTCTTCTGTAAGTATAATCTGCAAGTTTGGTTTGATGTGTTTCAGTTCTTTTGAGTGCCAAACTGTTCATTGGCGTCAAGGTCACAAGTTAGAATGCCGTCCTCCCAGCACAAATCACCGGAGTGATGATGTAACAAGTGATGTTGGCAGCAAGGTAGTAGAGCAAGGCTACTCTGGAATCCATGGTGAGAAGCCCAAAAGTGAAAGCACAGAATGTAAAACAGCTTCTGAAAAGCCCAGAATTTCTGATATCAGCTTCTCTCCAAAAGTTTCATCTGGAAAGGATGACAATATCAGAGTCGAGTCCCTTGCTGAGGGAAATATAACAGATTCTAATTCTGAATTGTCCAGTAATTCATTTTCTGGATTCTCAGCTTCCACAGGTTCTAGCGATTCATCTGATGATTCCTCTGTCTGTGAGAGCATCATCTCAAATGAGCATGACAGACCAGAGGGACATATGTTTGTTGATCCCACCCTTGACATTGCAGATAACATTTCAAATGATGATAGCATGGGTGTAACCATGTCTTCTTCACCAAAGTTTGCTAGTTTGGTTGAGTCAGTAGATGGTTTTTCTACAAAGAATAAATTAAACCACATTAGACCTGGTTTTAGTGAAGAAGAGAGTAAGCTTGCATCAAATGTTAAAGCATCTTCAAGTATGGGGAAAACAATTCAGCCTTCTACAGCATTTTCTGGATTCTGGGATAAAGCTCTTGATCCAAGAGGGATTAAAGATAATAATATTAAGAATGACACCCATTCATCCAGTTCTGATGAATCCATGGGCAAAAAGACTGTTTCTGAATCTTCATTTCACTTTTCATTCAGTACCATTCCCCCTTTTCATGTACGAGATACCAAGACAAAGGATTGTGTATCTGATGATGCTGTTTCAAACTGTAATGGGAACAATATGCCATTTTCAGGATCAGCATCGTCTAAGAATGACAACATGAGTTCTTCAAAGGGGGGAGATTTCTCATTCATCAACAGCCGAACTTCCAATGTTATGACCTATGGTACTCCAAGTGGTTCTGAATCTGAGCAACTGGAGTCTAAAGACAGTTCTGGGCCACCTTTATCTTTCTCCACTCAATCCTCCAGTGTTGACAAAGAATCAGTTAGTGCAGATGCTTTGAACATACATAACTTGCAATCAACTGGCTCTATGGTATCAAATCATGTGGTGGACAACTGTGGCAGCACCTTGAAATCCTCTGAAATTAGATGCCTGACGGATGAGCTTGCTGATTCTAATTTAGCTTCAAGAACTGAAGCGCATTTACATTCCAGTACAACATGTGGGAACAATGACATTAAATCTGAAACTCGAGCTGTCACTTCCTCTCGGGTCGCTAGCTATTCTGTAAATTCTAAGAGTGGCTTGAGAACATCTGTTCTGAAAGTTGTTGATCAGTTTAGAGGATCAAATTTGTCAAAGCACTTTCCATTAGCCGTTGGGAGTGATATTGCTGGAAGACACGATGACAAGGTTCTTCTAGAACAAATCTTTTTGCATACTTCATTCCTTGAAATACCGTTTACCTTACATTTATAATTGTTGCAGGGTTTTTTTTCTTATGAATTATTTGTCAAGCTTTATAACTTGAACAAGGTGGAGTTGAGCCCGTTTGGTCTTATAAATTGTGGAAACAGGTAATTTGAAATTATTTATGCTAAACATGTTAGAAGAGTACTGGTTCTTTCGTATATGTTTACATTATAATTATGTGGCATGTTATTATCTTCTTTCCTTACTGATAAGGATAGTATTTTTTGCCATACTATTAAATGATCGATGTGAATAGTTAGGTTGTTGAACTTGTGTAGAATCAATTGCTCCTCTACTGTGCTTTGTGTAGGATTCACTTTTTATTTTTCTAACTTTATTTTTTTATTTATTTTGCAGTTGTTATGCCAATGCTGTACTTCAGTGCTTAGCATTTACACCACCTCTGACTGCTTATTTGCTTCAAGGATTACATTCTAAATCATGTACGTATGTGATCAGTTCTGTCATGGAATCATCAGCTACCATGTTTTTTTGAATAACATGTTGTAAGTTGTAATTGTTCCCTCAGTTAAAATATCTCCTATGTAAATTTTAGGTGCAAATACAAAATGGTGTTTCACTTGTGAATTTGAAAGATTGATTTTGAAGTCAATGGGCACAAAATCTCCTGTGTCTCCTATGGGCATAATCTCTCATTTACAGAATATTGGGAGTCAGCTTGGTAATGGCAGAGAAGAAGATGCACATGAATTTCTTAGGTATTCTTTTACACCTTTTAATCCTTGTAGTATAGCATAATTATTTTTTTTTGTAATTAATTTCAAGTTAATGAAACATATGACATACTTGACAGGCATGTTATTGACACAATGCAATCTGTTTGCCTTATGGAAGCTGGGGTTAATGCATCAGGCTCAGTAGAACAGGACACTACTTTAATAGGTCTAACATTTGGAGGTTACCTTCGATCAAAGGTTTTATATCTCTATCTGGAAAAGTTATATGCGACTGTCTATTACTTTATTCTTCCCCCTTTTAAGGGTACAATACAATGTTGGCATGTTTCTGAAATTAGATGATTCTATTATTGTTGTCATTATTATAACATCTGCTGATTGGAAGTAACAACGACAAATGAACATTCACCTCATTTGGCAGATAAAATGCATGAAATGTGGAGGGAAGTCTGAGCGTCAGGAAAGGATGATGGATCTGACTGTTGAGATAGAAGGGGAGATTACAACCCTGGTGGAGGCCCTTCAGCGGTTTACAAGCACTGAGACTTTGGATGGGGAAAACAAGTACCACTGTGTCAGGTTGGTTGATTTTCTGGGTGCCTCTTGATCATTATCTTCATAGGAAGAGTTGTGGAACTAAAGGGTTTTTATTTTAGTGTAAATTCAAAAAAGGGAATAAGAGTTTTCTAAAAACGAACTTCTAAATTCTAGTAACAGCCTAACAGGTCTAGCTGTTTGGTCGCATTTAACTATTTGCACAATAGGATAATGTGGATTTGTTGCTGTGACATTTAGTTGGATCAGAGATGTTAGGTTTGATTACATTGTAGGTCTAGGTTGTCTCCTTTCTAGGTAAGAGCAGCCCCTCTTCACCCCCCGCAAAAAAAAAACCTCTTAATTTTTATCATCTTTTCGGATGCCATTATGAATTGAATTTCCAAAGTTACTCCTGTTTCCTCTTAAGAATCACCTCAAAGTTAACAAAAGATGTTGATATTACTAAAAAGATATTGCAAAATAACTAACAAGGGAAAAAGTCAAGGCACATGCAAAATCCTGAGAATTATAATGGCTTGTGCATGACCTACCTTCATTGAACTTATATCATATGGATCCTTGGCCTTTAGCAGTATTTATTCATGGGATAATGATCTTCAGTTAGACCAGAATATGAAAATTAATGCTTATGATTTTGGTTTATAATTTTTCTCTAACCAATTGTTAAGTGCATTATTTTCTTTGATTTAATTTTGTTTTGGCTGTACATAGAAGCATTGCAAAATGCTAGTGGCAAATTTACAGCCTGTGCCATTGATGATTGATATGCAATATAATCTGTCAAACCATCCTTATAAAGTTGTGTTTTATTGTGATCACCAAGTTATGTCACTAGCTTTTCACAATATTTTGGGTTCTACTAGCCAAAAAAAAAATGTTATTTGGTCTGCGCAAGTGTTCTCTTATTTGGTTTTTAGATGGTGGAATTTTATTTGAAGTACATGTACTCAAGTGTTTTTTCTTTTTGTTCATAAACTATTTCCATTTTAAGATGTAAATCTTACGAGAGGGCCAAGAAGAAGCTGACAGTATCAGAGGCACCTAATGTTCTTACAGTTGCATTGAAGAGATTTCAGGTATTTCAGGATTAAATTCAAAGGAAAAATGTAACTCTACCTGCATTTTATGCAGCCTGTATGCAGAGTTTTACTTATTGCTACATCTGTATTGCAGTCAGGAAAATTTGGGAAGCTCAACAAGCCTGTTCAATTTCCTGAAATACTCAACTTGGCACCTTTCATGAGTGGTACTAGTGATAAATCACCCATATACAGATTGTATGGGGTAGTTGTTCACTTAGATGTCATGAATGCAGCCTTTTCGGGTCACTATGTGTGCTATTTGAAGAATATCCAAAACAAGTGGTTCAAGGTTGATGACAGTGTGGTAAGTCCCTCACTTTTGCAGTTGTTCCCAATTCTCAAAAGCCCTTCACTTTTGGTTCCTCAATTTAATTCTCTAGGCTTATGTTTTTCTTATTAGTCCCATGGTCATTCCTGTTTCATAAACTGAATGTATGATGGAACTGGATCAGAAGTTCCGAATATAGGAAAGAAATGGAAAGTATATCGATAGAAATATCTCCCTCTTTACATCTAATGAAGACTAGAGATACATGAGCAGAGATGACAAAATGTGAATACAGACTCCTCTAGGTATGCAAGAAATCTGGGCTCTCCCTCCCAACTATAGTTAAAAACTGAAGACCCTTTTACTCCTTATTATACCTTATTTACCCTTTAAGTTACTTCTACCCACTATTTGACAGTCTAGCTGTTAGACTCATTACCTACCGCTGTCTAATATTTTGATCATAATGTTATTTTTATTGCTAATTGATTCAAGCCCCATTCAAGTAGTGAACAACGTAAAAACCTAAATTTATCATGGATGCTTTACAAATGTGAATTAAAAAGCGGGGATTTAAATAGTGCTGCTACAGCAGCGCTGCAACAGTGCACCCCTGGTCACTGCAGGGGCTGCTGTAGTGGAGCAGTTAAGTGTAGCTCGGCCATTACAAACAATGAAGTTATGGGACTATTCCAATTAAGTCCTCTGAAGAGAGATGTCAACGCTTTTTTTTGGGTTGCTGTCTTAGGGGTTTTCATTTGCCAAAAAACAATATTTGGCTTTTAATATGTTGACCCAGCCCTTGTTTTTCTCGCCTCTTCTCGTACCTTGCTCTGTGGCTCCTCTGTTGACGTTGCTGCTGCTGCTGCTGCATCTTTCGTCTCCGAAGACCGCATCTGGTGTTTCTGATGAATGGCTCGGAGACAACCGCAAATGCATCTTTTCTCTCTGGCGTCTCTCTTCTCTCAGCCAGCTGCCACTGTTTTCTCTTCTCTTCATTAAAAAAAAAAAAAATCAGAATTGCGGCTATCTCGTTATAGTATTTTTTGGGCTAACCGCCACATGCATCTATTCAGGATTTAAAACACTGTTAAGAACATATAACTTGTGAATTTCTTCAATTTTTATACAAAAGAATACTTGGTAGCAATCCAGTGCACGAGACTCATGTTTTTAGAATTTTAGACTTCCAAGTCACAAGGCAGCTTCGGTACCTTGCGCCACCCTCGTACAAAAGTAAATTTATGAAAGACAAAATTAGTTTTCGTTAACTAAGAAAAATATTTAAATTTTAAAACAAAAAGCCTTAACCTTAGTGGAACAATGAAACTGAAATGATAACATCATGCAAGGGTAGACAAATGACAAAGGTGTTGCGAGAGGTTCAGGAATCAGGATTGAAAGCTCTGTTAGCCAATTTTTTCCAAAGATCATTTTGTTCTAGGATGAAAGTACTGTCGAGTTCAGTGGGTGAATGTGTCCTCAAATCATTGTTGTATTACCAAGCAGGAGGAAATATACAGAACATTTGTTGTGGTTATTACTTTATTGCACTTAGTTTAAACATCTGCTGTATGTCTTGCAGGTGACGCCCATTGAATTGGAGAGAGTCTTGACAAAAGGAGCATATATGCTTTTTTACGCAAGGTAACCCAGTTATTTTTTTTTTGGCCTGGCCTCGGGGAGGAGGGGGACGTAAACAGAAACAGAAATTGAATTGGCAAGAGCAGTTAGTTATGGTTTAATGGGGTTCAACCAGATAATTAGTTGAATTTGACATGTTCAACCAAAGTGAATTGGACTACATAATAAGAAATAATTGGATTGGAAACATAGTGGGTTCACAGATTTGACTGATTGAACTGGCCAGTTTTTTCAACATTGATGGGTGGCTTCAATGATCCTTTTAATTACATTTTCTCTTTTTAGCTTCTCTGATTAGCTGAATCACTTTGTAGGTGCTCGCCAAGGGCCCCAAGATTAGTTAGGAACAGAATACTATCCCCGGATTCAAAAAGTAAAGTCAGTGGAAAGACTCATACAACGAAAGCAAGACATGTATCTCCAAATTCTGGTGCTGCCGAACACGTGAATAGTTCCATTTCTCCAGATGGGTCACCTGGCTTAGAGTCTTTCTATTCAAAGTTTCACCACCTGAAAAGGATTTTAGAAGAAGACTCGTCAAGTGATAATTCATCCCTTATCAGCAGCAATTCTGATGAAGGTTCTTGCAGTACCGATAGTACCCGTGATTCAACCAGCACAGATGACTTGTCCGATTATATTTTTGGTGATTCAGGGAATGGGTGGAGTAGTTTGTGGAGGAATTCTGATTCTGATGCATCCTCGTCCTCCTCATCTTCTCCCTTAACCTCTCGACATTCGCCCCTATCTGATATGGACCGGTATGATTCAGTCTCTCCTGATGCTGAAAGGAGAGGGATAGATGTTTCTGGTTTGCATTCTAACACAAGTTTACAGCATAGAAAGTTAGATAGTGGTAGGATTAGTAGAAATAGAAATAGTAGGGAGACTGACTCTTTTCTGAAACTAGGATCTAACCATTTTAATGATATAGACTCTGGAGGTGTATCATGTAGAAAGTCGAGAAAAAGAACGGATTAAAATTTTTATTAATAGGGAGCTCCGGAGCAGTAAATAATGAGAGATGCTGTGCGTAATGTATTCTTCAAGTCTGTCTTCTTTTTACAAAGGAAAATTAGTCATATCAGTTTGTCAGTGTAGATATAAATTGCTGTAACTCCGTTATAAAACTTCAATGAATCAATTCTATTATTTTAAATGAGAATTTGAAATAAAGAAATTTTTTTTTCTTGCATTTAGGTATTACAAAGTTATTACCTTGACTGGTCAAGAAAGATCAAGATTTTTTGTCATTATCTTTTTATATAAAATTATTAAATTATTTTTTATTCAAATATTTAAGTGGGATTTAGAATATAAAATAATATACAATGCTTAAAAGGAAAAAAATTGAGATTGTGATATAAAATAATTCTAAATGCTTAGAAGTAAACAATTAAATTTAGAAAATGCGAAATTTAAGCTTTAGATGGGTTATTATTTTTTTTTAATAATAATTTTAGGTGAAAACTGTGTTAAATGGTAGATTTTAAATAGAAAAAATAAAATGATTTAATGGATTTGATTAATGGAGGTTTGAAGGAAAAATGAGATTAGGAGAATTTTAGTTCAAGGATAATACAGAAATTTGGTTATAATAATTAAAATTAAAGAACTAAATTTAAATAAAAAGTATGTAAAATTTAATGTCGATCATTAAAACTATAATAATGAAAGAAAAAATATAAATCCTTAAAATAAATATTATTCATTTACTTCAAAATATCACTAGGAAAAAAAACAAAAGAATTTAAATTTTAAAAAGATAAAAATAAAAACATACTATACAAATCAAAATTAAAATTTATTCATTTTATAGGACAAAAAATAATATTTACAAAATTAAAAAAAATATATAAAAACCAAATCAAAATAAATTTATTTTATACGAATTACATATATATTTAAGTCTTAATTTTATTTATCTCGGATACACGACTTATCTTATCATACATTTTTCTTTCTTCTCCTGATTTTTTTTCCTTATTGTAAAGCTTGTAATCGGACTTCTCGTGTTTAGCTAAATCTGACTACAACTTTTGCTGGTATAACTCAGCCTCATCGTCTGTTTCTGAATTCTAATATCTGCTTCGTTAGTTGATTTTTGTAGTTTAGTGATATTAATCACATTTTTTTTCTAGACATTTGCAAGATTAAAATATCGAGTCCAAAGGGTGTTAGATAGATTATGGTGGAGAAGACATGATTTTTTTTTCCTTTTAACAAATGGATAGTCACGTAAGAGGTAGTTGCTAGTGTAAGGGCTCGTTAGTGATATTGTTAGAAGCAATGCAGTGCGACATATCAATTATTATGATATCTATAATGTTGTTGATATTTCTAGAGCTTGGAAGGCCTGATTACGGGTCATTGTTTAATTTTAGAAGCTGAGTTATGAGCCATTCTTTATGGGATGAAAATAACAATTGATTGGAAAATTATAAGATTGATAGTTGAGTCTGATTCCCTTGAAACTATTAAACTTTTGGACGATTCTAGTCGGTCTCGAAGACCTTTTAGAGAGTTGCTTGATGAACTCATTAAAGTTAAATATTAGTTGCAGCAATGTTGTATTAGCAAATATTAGACGTGAAACTAATATATTAGCTGATTCTTTTGTCAAACACGATTTATCATTGTCAAATGATGTTTGTTTTTACAATATGATTCCTGATTTTGGTGTAAACTCCTTCGTTGAGGATGCTGATGTAAATAACTACTTTGATGGATTTCAATTAGTTTGTGTGTCTTTGGCTCTTTGCCAAGACCATTCAGCAAAAAAAAATATCGAGTCCATAGGCTTCTAATTTCTAACCGATGTGATATCTTAACAAATTATTGGATTCATTAGGCGTCTATTTCATATATATTTGTTGAAAAATGCTAATTACTATACGAATTAAATTGTCAATAGCATGTGACTGTGAATGTGATTTCCGTCAAAACACTTCTTATACTTTTTTTTAATTATTAAATTAATATTATTTTGGAGAAATGCCATTGTTCCCCGTTGGCATTTTTGCATTTGATGCATCTAATCCTTCTTAACAAATAGTGAGTGAGTATAATGAATAAAAAAAGTTTTTTTTCCCTTCCATTATTACATTAGAGTTAATTTAAAACAAGGCTTTCTTTTTGTAAAGAAATCAGCTAAAATTCATAATTAATTAATGTTTTTTTTCTTTTTTAACGATGGATAAAATTAAAATCATACTCAAAGTTAAGGTTTCAATTATATAGAGAATAATGCTTCCTAGGTGGATTAACTTTTATTAGTTGCATGAACCATGCAGATAGGCAGAATCTTGGTCAAGTCTCTGTTGAAGAAATTAATGAGCTCATGTTCGTCTTTTCTGTCGATCTGGAATGCTTTGGCAATTTAAAATTACCATATATTAAACTATATATATTATTTGAATAATTTTAGCAATAAGTTGTGTGCTTTTCTTCATAAAGTCATATGTATCAAGGAAAAGTAAAAACCAAACAAACAAACGAGGTTTTAACTTCGTAGACGGATAACGAATGATGTAATTCATGATAACAATAGAGGGGAGAGAATATTAAATTAATCACCCCGAATTTAAGGGTGAGACATTTTTTTAATAGAACCTTATCCTAATAATAGTGATGACAAGTTGATATTTGATTATGTCACGCAATAAGTCCTCTGTACACAGAAACTTGAGAATGAAGGGACAAGCACTGACCATGGCCTACGCCTGTACTTTGCAGATCTTGCCATCGCCAAACTTGACCCACTCATCATATTCTCAGCCACACCCACATCAACGTCATTTTGGACTTTTATATATATATATATGGGGAAAATTTTGTTGATTTAATTTTGATTTAGATAATTATTATCAGCCTCAAGTCATATTTTATTTCAAAAAAGTGTATATTAGAAGATGGTCTCCTTGCAAGGTTAGAAAAACCACAACTTTATAAGAATTTATAATGAAATTTATATACTATCTACCAAAAGAAAAAAAAAATCTATGAATGAAACTCAAGTTGCGATTAATGTGAATAAAAGACTCAATTAGACGAGTTATAAAGGTCTATTTAGTCTAAGAAAATATTTTTTATTTTACAAATAATTACAAAATCATCACATTAATTATATTTTACCTAGTTATCTATTTAAAATAATAATAATTCCTGATTTTATGAGATGTATAAATCTTTGAAAACAAAAGACAAAGTAAAAAAAAAAATAGTATTCTTATAATTGATTATGAAAGTAAGAAAGGAAAACAAAATGTTGAATGAAACCATATAAATAGGAGGTAAATATATAAGTCAAGTTAAGCACCTGAAATTTAAGTTATAGTAGTTAAAAAATAAATTATTCAAATTTAATTCATTTATATAAATAATATAATCGAAAGTTTGAGTTTAGTCTTTAAAATATAAAAAATTGATTGGATCTACTTATTTAATTTATTTATAATCATATGCTTATCGATCTTTAATAATGATATAGAATGATCAAATCCTAAATCAGTAAATAGAATAAGAGATAATTATTATTTTGAAATCTTTTATTAAATTTCTATTTTATTTATTATATTATATGTTATGTTTTATTTGATTTATTATATTATATTATGTTATGTTTTATAATTAGTATTGTATATAAAATCCAAAAGTATTTGACCTGATCAAACACATTTGTAACCATAATAAAAAATAATGTCTGGTCGTTATAATTTAGTAAAGACTCTTAAATATACTTAATGATTAAGTATTCAATGATAACATTTTTTTTACCTATAAATATACCTACATTAAATTTTATCTAAGTTTATAAAATACAATCTAATACTCTAAATACGTTATAATTTTGTATCGAAATCTCTTTTTTAAGTATAACCAACATTTGATATATGAAGATTGAGAAGTCCAGGTCCATGAACTCGAAAGAAGAATTCTTGGCTCCATTTTCTGACAAGTATACCATGTGTTATGCTTTAAATAAAATACAAATTAAAATAGAAAAGCTAAATTGAAGTCAAGTAGAAGTTCAATAAACCAAAAGAAGAAAGAGAGAGAAAAAAATACTTAAAAAATGTTTGGGCCCATTGCCCTAACTCCGTTAGCTGTAACCCTTTATTTTCTGTAATGTAACCCCGAGAGCCCAAATGGGTTTTCTAATTATTTTTCCTATATCCTCTCTCTCTTTTTGCGAGGAAAGTGAGCAAGCTCCCACAAAAAACTTTCACATAAAACATCACAAATTTGCGAACAAGTAGCGCTATAGATGGAAAATAATCAATTATGTTTCTTTTTTTTTATTTTTATATATTTTTATTTATGTGTTTTACCCTATCAATGTCAAACTCTCTTTGATAATCGATTAGATGCCACTCCTTCTCCTCCATTCCCTTTTCCTTCTATTCTTAATTGATTATCTACCTCATTTGTGTTTGACTATACATTCAACACTATTTTAACCACTCATTCAACTCAAATCCTCCACCAAATAACAATAATAAAAAACATGTGTGATGGTTTTGATAATCAATATTTGTGGTGGTTTTGATTTTTCACTAGTGTAAAATTGAATTTAAAATCGGAGTTTTAAGATCGGTTACAAGGTAATCGATCTTAAAAGTAACGCGATGACAATTTTGTAAATAATATGAACACTTTTAAGATCGGTTAAAATTTAACCAATCTTAAAAGTACTTTTAAGATCGGTTATTTTATGACTGATCTTAAAAGGTATGTCTGACACAACTTTTAAGATCGATACAACTTTTAAGATCGGTTACAAAAGAATTGATCTTAAAAGTTGTATCAGACATAACTTTTAAAATCGGTTATAAAATAACCGATCTTAAAAATACTTTTAAGATCGGTTGTGCTACTTTTAAAATCGGTTATTTCAGAACCGATTTTAAAAGTACTACTTTTAAAATCGATTATTTCAAAACCGATTTTGTATATAGTATACAAAATCAGTTCTTAAATAACTGATTTTAAAAGTATCGTCAGAAGCCTTTTATATTTCCCTCCATTCTCATTCTCTTTAATCTTTCCCTCCATTTCTTTTTTTACTCTCTCGCGCTCTCATTTTCTAAAGTCTCTAATAAGATAAATTTCGTTGTCGTTTTCGTTTTCGTTTTTGTCTTCTCATGCTCTTCTTATGTCTCTTTTTGTTTTCTCAT